AGTGGGCGGGTACAAAAGGACATCGGAGGACGCAGTCGTGGCAACCGGTGGTGGACGGAGCAGCGCACACGTCGGGGTCGGGTGCTAAATTTTCCCCTCGGCAGACACACGACCGCGCAGATCCGCGGTGCGAGGTGGGGGGTAGAGAGATGGTTGCCACTTTCGGCAGCCGTCCGCGACGACGGTGAAGAGGCGCGTTACAACCAAGTCGGGACAACTTACCAACTCACGCCGCGCGTGAACTAGAAGGGGGGGGGGGCGAGAAATGGGGAGCGTGCGCCAATAACCAGACGGTTGGGGACCAAGGAGAAAAAGTAAGAACTCATCATTACGTTGACGAACACCTACACAAATACACGCACACGCGGCGCACGCACACACGCACGCACGCTCGTGCTGCGCGCCGCGCCCGCGGGCCGAAAGCGACGTCACCGAGACACACCAAAAGGAGCGGCCGAACGTGTGTCGTCGGCGACCACTCCCAAGGCGCCGCCGGCAGGCCTGCACAGCACAAAGCGCTGGAGCCAAACGACTTGAAGTGCATCGATCACTTTGTCCCCCCCCCCCCCTTCCACTACTCCCACACTGCCTATGGCAGCAGAAGTTTATGGCAGCGAGCTGAGCTGATAAGCAGAACCGTGCACCAATCGATTTGTTACGGACCGCACGACCTGCTCTACTACTTGACTGGCGGAAACTTACGCACGCTCTCCTCGCGCGAAAAATGGGTAAGACCTCAATAGTTGCATAAAACTATCATCAACTTCAGAATCGGGGTCGGGACATGTTTTCTCTTGCCTCCGCGGAACAAATAGTCACACTCTTTTGGAAAGTGGACGTCTGCCTTGCAGACAGTTCCACATCTGAACTCATTTGGCCCAAACTGACCGTTGGCCCTCTCCTGGAACCCGGGGTTGTTGAACGTGGTGGCGTGGTCACCACGCGGGTCGCGGGTCGACATGGTCGGGTCGCCGCCCAGCCTCCTGGAGAAGATGACGTCGTACAGCGACATGACGAACAGCAGGAAGTCCAAGGCGATCAGGATGATCTGCGGAAAGGGGCGTCCAAAAGTCAGCGTAAGCTCGCGACAGGCGTCTTTTACACACAAACAATAACTTCTCCTTGAAGAGGAGCAGCGCAGGGCTCCCCCACACACCATACCTGCACGTAGAACGCCTCGCCGCGACTGACGCGGAACCCGCTGCCCGCCCCGTCCGTCTGCACCGCGAACAGGCTCGCCGCGACAATAGCCAGGATGGCTGGAAGAAAAACAGGGCATAAGTTAATGAAAAAGTTTTCCAGCGCCGAATTATTGGAAAAGAAAAGAGTGCTTGCGGTGCCCCAACATGTGTGCCACACATCTTCAGTGTGTGTCGTGAGCACCCCACGTGGCGCTCCCCTGCGCGCCTGCGGGGTAGGCCACCCCTCGGCCCGGAACACACCCCCGTCGCGCGGCTGCCTACCGCTCCAGGCGCCCTCGGCCAGAACAATACAGTACCCCGGGCACGGCGATAAGGTAACGGTGGCGGCGGCGGCGCTGGCGAGACCGGACCCGACTCTGACTGCGCCACAAACTCGGCGCACAACGCGACGGCGGCGGCGGAGTCGCGATAACCAGCCGCGCCGCGATTGACACCTGTATGGCCCCCTCCCCCTCCCTCCGGCCAACCCTCTCGTTCCCCGCGCCCTCCACCACCACATCCCCCGCCCTCCGTCTCCTGCCTCAGCAACCTCGCACACATCCTCCTTTGTACCGCCCTCCTCTCCGCCACCTGCCCGCGCGGCTGCCGCCGGCGTGGTCGGTATGGTACCAAGTCGCCGTACTTCTGGGAGCGCCCGGCCCCCGCCCGGCCCCAGCCCGGCCCGACCCGCGAGCCCAAGGCGAACCCTGCCCACCCACACAGTCACTTGACGGGCACATCCGAAAATACAAAGGCAGGCAGCTTGGAATACGCGTCGTTGGAGAGGTCTTTTTGACGACGCGATGTCGATTAAAATTTGGGGAAGTGTTTTGCTATTGAGCGAGTTTTCCTCGGAAAGATTCTAAGAGTTTTCAGAGGTAAAATATACTTTTCGAATGAATACCTCGGATTTTGAATTTTGAATTACGTGATGTGTTACTGACGGAAGGAAGCGGAAAGTCAATTTTTGTCATTGGATTGAAGTAATCAATTTTTCTAAATACATACTTGCGACGAGTGCGAGGACGAGCTTGGTGATGACGGCCACGCTGTACTTGAGCAGCACGCGGTCCTTGGAGGACACCATGGCGAGCTGCAGCACAGACAGGAAGCAGAACAGGGCGAGCAGGACCACGCCGAGCACCGCCACCAGCCCGGAGGCCCATACCGCCCCTGGAAAAATCAATTCATGCACATGTAAGAAAAGTCTTGTCTTACTGCTGCTTTGTTGTAAAATGGTGCGCATGTACGTTATTTCGAAAATCGTTGCATGGTTTCTGTCAGCAAGTAATATTAATTTTTTTTTGAATTTTATTTTCTTCTCTTCTTTACTAACCGTTTGGCTGGAACCTCGACACATTTCGTCCACACCGCTCCCGCTCGTACTGCAGCTGCCGGCACACCGTCCAAGGACCGAAGTAGCCCCGCTCCGTGGCGAATCCTCCTGCAAGCAGACGGAACATACGGCGTCAGAGTGCGTTGAGCTGCCTAGCCGCCAGGCGCGCGCCGCCCGCTGAACGGGGGCTACGCGGGCAGTGGGAGTGGGAGGGAGGGCACACACATATTGCTTGCTTGGTCGGGCTATGATACACGGTAAAATTATGTTTCGTATCGGGAAAGAGGAGAAAATACATAGAAGGTGGCTGGCTGGATAGAAACCGCCGTTTACATTTTTTAGAGTAGACAGAATTTGTTCTCTTACACACGAACGAAACATGAACGCAGTTAAGCAATTAACATACTTGGCACATTCCAGTTCCTCCCCTTTGTAAAATGACAAGAATGAAAATGAAAAAGCGACCAAGATTAGTCCATGCCTCCTAAAACTTTGAACGCTGAAAAAAAAACAGGAAAAGTTGCGGAAAATACGGAAAAACTGGTGAAAACGACAATTTATAAAAAGCCCCCTTTAGGGGTTTTCCAAATTTTCGCGATTCTTTTTCCAAAAAAAAGAAGTTTTTCTCTTGAAGACTTGAACTTTTTTGGAAAGTTGACATGTCTATTGATTCCATCACCCCCGCCCCCCTCCTCCCTGCGACCTCGAATAATTTCGGCCACCGTTTCCTGTACTTTTTCAGTAAATATTTTGTTTCAGCCCGGCTGGTACGGAAGGCCTGCAGTATAGAGAGCAAACACACCTCGTCCTTCACCCACATGTGACTCGTATTCCTCATGACGCCATGACCTTGGCGCTGTCTGGCCCGCGGCGTGGCGAGGCGTGGCGCTCTGGCCCGTGGCATCGCCATGAGCAGCGCATGGACCACGCGACACACAGTCACCTGTCTCTGTCGCACCCGCGCACTCAGAAGCGAAAACAGAAAAAAGCAAACTAGCGCGGCCTTGGCGAAGATTGGAAGGAAGGGTGTGGGAGATGCCTCATATTTTTCTTTATTTCATACAAATGATGATATGTGTGCGTTCGAGAGTAAAGTATTTATCTGACGGCTTGCACACGGGGCGGACAGCTTTGGGTTCAAACGAGCGCTTGTGTGTCCCCCAGACGAACGCCTCTGCCCCCCCCCCCACCTCCTCATATACCGCGGGGTGCAAGCAAGCGAGAGACAAAGACACGCCGCACCACGCTGCGCCACGCCCGTGACTCACGTGCAAGCGGCAGGCGGACGTGCAACGCACTGGGGGAGTCCCCTGCTGCTGGACTCCAGCCAGCAACACAAGACTGACTATACACGTGAAAGAAAAAGAGAGAGAAGGGAACACACACAAAAAAATAATCTCGCGACGCCAGGAATGCAAGCGAAAATAAATAGCGGCGGGAAATGTTTTCCGAGAAAACCGCAGCGTGCATCTTGCGGAAACAGCAACGCGCGCGGGAAGTTTTTCGCAGAGGACTGCGAGCGCACGCCCGTCCAAGTCGCGTTACCGATTGAACAGTGGTGCCAAAGAGGTAAGTTACAAACATGTAGCTAAATAAGGTCCTGGAAAAGTTCGACAGAAATTTCTAAGTAGTCTAGACTGCATGACAAGTAGCATTATCGTGGAGTATGTGGCAGGAGGAGGCGATCCTGTTCCGTTTGTTTGGTTTCTTTTTTCGCTTTTTTTCTGCACGGCCAGGGGTGCCAAAGAGGTAAGTTACAAACATGTAGCTAAATAACGTCCTGGAAAAGTTCGACAGCTCTCTAAACAGTCTAGAATGCATGACAAGTAGCATTATCTTGGAGTATATGGCAGGAGGCGATCCTGTTCCGTTTGTTTGTTTCCTTTTTTCGCTTTTTTTTCTGCACGGCCAGCCGCGCGGTCAAGTTCAGGGCCCCTCCTCCCCGCCTGCAGGACCGCGGGGCTGCATTGCGGGCGTGGCGCTGGCCTCCAAAAACAAACCGGATCTGGCTGACCCGTTTTTATTTCCTCCGCCAGGAGTCCCTGCCTGCAGTCCTGCCTGCAGTCCTGCCTGCAGTCGCCCCCTGTCCTGTCGCGGCGCTGGCGCTGCCCAGAAGGACAGCGAATCCCACTCGAACGATAATCGTTTTACGGGACGGGGTCAAGGAGAAATCCGCTGAGCGCTCACATTTTTTCAGGGGTGCTATATGTTTGTCCAGAAAAAGGTTTCTCGTCCACGACGGAGGTAAATTAAAAAGATCAGCATACGTCATTTAAATGTTGCCAGTGCATTTTGTATGTTGTGCGTTGTTCGTCGACAGAGATCTGGATTTGCAGCGTGCACATTTTCGTGCCCAGCTGGGGGGCTACGGGCGGGCGTGGAGCGACAGACCCCTGCGACGTAGGCCACCCCGCCGAACACACCTGTGGTGCGGGGTGGCCTATCCCCAGTATGCCAGGCGGCCGTGTGAGTGGGGCCTGGGCCTGGGGTAAGCGAGACAAAGACAAAAGGCCCCTGCGAAGTAGGCCGCCTGGCCTAACACCCATGTCGTGCGGGGCGGCCTATCCCCAGTCTGACAGGCGGGCGGGGGGACTAGAGAGCCTGCGACGTAGGCCGCCCCGCCGAACACACGTGTCGTGCGGGGTGGCCTAGTCCCGGTTTGACAGGCGTTTCATGGACGAACGAGTCCAGAGTCCCTATTATGCTTATATAAGTTGGGAGAGTTTTCGCTTCGTTTCCTTTGCGGGAAAATATATCAGAATTTTTTTTGGTAACAGTCAGTCCGTCGCTGTTTACAACACCTGCCATGTTAAAAGCCCACTGTGATTCTCAGCGCATGCTTTAGTGAAAAATTGCAGTACTGTAGCTTTCAGTGTAAATTACTGGAAGCTTTTGGGTAAATTTCACTGTAAGCTACAGTGAATCTCAACGTAAGCACAGTGAATCTCACCGTAAGCTACAGTTCTGCGACTTTCTCTGCAGCTTACTGTGAAAATCACTATAAGCTTTTAACCGTGTGTGTGAGGGAGCACCTCTCTGAATGAGCAAGTCGGTTTGTTGTTACTACCCTAGGTATCGGAAGCGAGTTTCCCCGTAGCTCAGAAGCCCACCTTGCACATTTCAGCCGACTGACACCACCTACCAGTCAGCCCCCCTTCCGTTCCGTCAGCTCCGGCCCGGCTACTGCCGGCACGCTACTGCCGTCGCTACTTTCTACGGGCGGCCGCCGCCCCCCGCGCCAGACGCTCCGCTGCGCCCTGCTCCGCTCAGCTCCGCTGCGCCCTGCTCCGCTCAGCTCCGCTCAGCTCCGGCACGCCTCATCGACAATGCCCAATAAAACGTGGCCGCGCAGCCCCGCGGGCCTTCGGGCCGTCACGCAATCGCACATGTGTGTAACGACGCGACGAGCGACGCGTCGCCGGACGGGACAAACTGCAACACAGCATCATCGATTGGAGAGAGAATCAATCGGGGGCGATTATGACTGATGCGGTCATTCGAAACGCGCGGGAGCGCGCGAGAGTTTGAAAACGGAGTCGCGGGTTTTCGCGTGGAGATAGGTCCGAGAGTAGTCACGACCACGACCACGACCAATATATGTTGTTGCACGAGCGGATTTGGGGGATGAGCAGGGAAATGAGAGAGAGAGGGAGAGGAGTGTTGAGCGGTTGACTCGGATAGTTTTCGCAGAGTTTTGCACGCAACGGCTATTAGCGAGTACCTATATCTTCCCTTGCCTCCACCTCGGCCAGCCGAGGAGAAGGTATCCTTTCCCTCCAACGAGATCGTAGTACACGGCACGGGCTCATGATGCAGAAACCAAAGATTGGTATCGGCGTTATAGGGGAGCCGACCTAACCTCGAGGTACCACCGGTGTGAACACCGTGCTGCCCCATGGCCCATGGCCCCCTATACACTCCGCCTTGTTTTACTCGGAGCAGGTCGTCGGCCCCGCGACGAACCTGCTCTCCCTCTCCTCACTCGTCACTAACTTTTTGTTTGCCAAGGTTGGTCGTCACTACATCTTGGACGGGCAGCGACGGCAGCGTGCCACTGCAGCTTCACATCTCTCACTCACTAGATACGCTGGCGATGCGATACGTCGATATCCATAAAGATGGTTTACGGCGAGGAGAGGCGACGAGGAGAAGGGCGAGCGTGAGGAGCTGCAGCAGCAGCCGCGCAAGCCACCACCAGGAGAGGAAAACGTGCAGAGCCGTGGCGGAGCGTGGCGGGGCGTGGCACTGCATGTTTTCCCTGTAACCCACGAGACGCCACCACGACCTCACGACGATCGCCACCCCCGCGCAGAGTGCCTCGCCGTCATAGCATATAGCTCTCCCCCATTTCCTCATCCATAAAATCGAATAAAGTATTCACTCACGTCGGCCCGAACATGATGTAGATCACCATATTGTAGATTAAGATACACCACAGCCAAGTATATATAGCCAGTTCAGCACTACGGGTCGGTTAATTGTCCACAGTGAAAAATGTGAAATAGGAAAACGTTCCCTTAATGTGTATCGTAAGATTACAGTTCGAAATTGTAAAATTAGAAGTATTTTTTATCAACTTGGAATTTTTCAACGAGCAAGAGAAATGGCGCACTCATAAGTTAACAACATAATTTGTAAATCAAAATGACACAAAAATGTTGTAGACTTACGAGAATAATTTCCTTTTTGAAAGTGTTTTCTATTCTCATCCTCGCCCAGCCGGGCCCGGCGGCCCCACCTAATTCCGCGAGCACAATTCCTGTTGGGCCTTTCGAGTGGAGCCTCGCTCGCGAGTTCTGCCGGTGCTGGTGCGCGTCAAGCATTTCAGACTCCTCTCCACGCTGCCGGTCGGGTGCGCGGGCATGGGCGGGAG